GTACCGGTACATGACAACTAGAGGGCTCTGGTACTAGTACTACTTATCACAGGTACCAATGCCTCTTTCCAAAAATTGAAATTTTAACTGTGACATTGCTGAGTCTCACATCTTGAGCTCTTTCCTTTGCAGGATGTAAATGGGAAAATTTTGAGTCCTAGATTGGGATTTGGACCTTGGAATGGTTGTATAATTAATATATGAACATGTTATATATTGGGTAGTGCTCCCATGCAAAAGAGACTCTGTCCAAATTTCATTTTGTTATGATCCCGGTGAATGGGGAATAACGACATGATATCGGGTTATATGGTATCCACGGGTATTGCGCAGGTTGATAGGTGATCAACGAGTTGAGAAATGACCCTCGAATTTTGGGGCGTCACAAAAGATATCACTTAGGACCCACTATATCACCTTGCCAAGCACATACAAGACCGACCATATAGAGTCGCACTATATTTGGCGTCCATATATATATTTTCCGAGCTAAATGGTATAATTCGAGGAGAGAATAGGAAAAGAAAAATTGGGATATATGTGTCAAGGTAAATAGGATTGTGGAACAAACTTTGAGCAAACATAATTAGGATCCTGAGACAAGGTTCCTGCAGCGAGATCTCGAGGTAAGGGTCTTGCGGTATGGTTTCCGCGGCCACTACCTAATTAAATATTTGAGATGCTTGTTGCCGATTTATTGGCTTGAATCGTATGTGCCTAGGTCACACATGTGTAGCCTTCCTCTATAAATACCCTTATATTCTCACAAGAAAAGACATAGAAAAATGAATATAGATCATTGGGCTCTAAGCCTTGAGGAGGCAGCCTCTCTCTCTCCCTCCTTTCTCCTCTCCTCGTCCATCCTTCATAGCCTCTCTCTAACAGTGACGTGAATGAACCCATTTAACTCCCCGTTTACAAGGGGTAGAATAGGAGTTTAAACTTTTTTGCCACGTCATAGTTTAGATTTTGACATAATTCAATTAAATCATCATCCTACAATGGGGGAAAATATATATATTGGCCTTGGGCGATATCCAAATTAGCTAAAGGAATTCACAATTGATTATTTTAGGTACACCGAGTTTTTTATTAAATTTTTACACAAAATCGACATGAATGTTATATTTTACGAGTTTACTGTAAGATTGTGTAAGATTGCGCTGCATCATTTACTACATAATTTTTGGTGAAATTTTTTTTTACTCATTCACCAATTCTTAAAACCGTGGATTATGAGTTTATAATGTTTGTGACTATCTTGTTGTGTATAAGTACGGGTAAGTGAATAACTTACGTGCCAATTATGCATGCTTGTGTTCTGACCGAAAAAAACAATGTGAAAGAAACTCTACAAGGATGTCTAATGGAGCCAAGAACAAGCTATAAATTCAGATATCATGAGTTTGAAACTTAACAACTCTTTTAAGGAATTTTTTAGTCCCAAGGTGAATGGTTTGTATTTGACCATATTGGGGAATGAATTAATCAAGACGTGCATAAGCTAATCCGAACACTCCTGACTATAATAATAAAATAAAAAAAAATGAACTTAGGTGATAGATACAAAATCATGCACTTTTAAGGCGAGAGGTCCACGCTAGACACTTTTAAGGTGAAAGGTCCATAAAATACATAGTTGACAAAAATACGCTTAATGAATGAGGTTATTTAAAAATTTCACCATATTTCCCGCCCCCTAACAACCCCTACCCCTCATTGACAATGAATTACCCAACAGTGAACTACCCAACAATGAATTACACAACAGTCAACTCAATGACACTGAACTAAAAGATAGTGAATGTTACAATTTTAGAATTGATCACTTAATTACAGGTTATGCGAAGTAATAAATTTCTCGGGAGTTCGAGATCAAACCACAAAGAATTAGAAAAACTTAAAACATAAAGAAAAATAAAAGAAAATTGGTTTAAAAAAATTGTTGAAGAAATTTTGAAATTAGAAAACAATAAATATGGTTTTAAGACACTAAAGTATTGGGGATACCCTTTCAAAACCACACGACAATTATTAATGATCCAATTTTTGAACTCAATTGAGAATCATTTGAGGAGTGATCCCAATCAAAATATTTAGCAGTGATAATATGAAAATATCAAGAGGTATAATTAATGAATTATCTAAATAAATATAAGAATTTACTTGTAAATCACAAATATTTACCGTGGGTCTACGATAAATCAAATTTTTCAATAGGTAAATTTTATTTTATTGAAAATAATTAATCAACTATCTTATGAGAAATTCTAAATAATTAATTCAAAGTATAGAATAACTAGTTATTTGAATAATAGAAAATCTTAAGCATTCGATATACGTGACACAACAAATCAAGAAATTATACAGAGCAAAAATTTTACTAAAAGACAAGAATTAAATTAAAAGAATAAATCATGCATTAAAAACATTAAATCAATAATAATAGCGTACTTCATTGAAAGTATCTTCTCTAAATTTAGATGAACTTTTAACAAGCCATAGAACTAGAACTAGAACAAAAACTAAAAAAAAAACGATGGAAAAAGAATAATAATTATAATTATAATCATAATCCTCTCTTAATAGGTGAAAGCCCTTATTTATACTAAAATAAATTCTAGGTATAAGTAGGAGATTTAAGGTTGACTTAGGAAAATTCCTTTCCAAAAAGAAGTCTTTTAAGGTTAAATCTCGTGCATAAAATCTTAGGGGTGCAGGTACAAAATCTATCCAGACTTTGAGTTTGAATTCCGCATATTTAGAGGTTAATTCACAAAATTTTTGTAAAACACATTTTTGTAATCCTTGAAGTCTTCTTTCCAACCCTGTAAAAATCAGGTCAATCAGATTTCAGACTCAAAAACAAAATAACCTAATAAAATAAAACACAAATCCACTTTCGTAGAACTCACGACTGCATTTAGCATATACAACAAGCCTTTAAACCCTAGATTTCCTCTAATGGATGAGTATAATCTCATGAGGGTTTCTAAAGATGATACCTATAAGCATTACCCTGTAATCAAATATCTGAATAATAATTTTATAACACAAATTGTGACCACAATATAAAAATTCTAAACTGTGAGGCTTTTTATAAGCACATTCGCAATAAAAATATGGAACTCTACGATATATAAATGTATGCACTTATCATGTTCCAATAGAAACTTGTGTGTTTTGTGAAATAATTATACCAAGTCAACAATTTGTCTGGTAATCACCTCTATAACTATAAATTATTCATCTCAATGTCAAATCTCACTAGATAATTCATTCATAAAAGATTCTCTCAAATTATAGTTATTACTCTCTCAAATATCACATATGAGAAGAAGAAATTTAAATCAAAACAAAATTATGCTCATAGTCTATTAAAATAGTCGTCATCTAAAAGAAAATGATTTGATATAGTCTCATGAAAGGAAATCAACACACAATAAGCAAATAATCACTATTCTCTTCTTTATTCACACAAGTTATGTACCCACCAATACATTCTTGAGATCAAATAGATCTTTATCTAAGGTTGTAATGGGGCCTTGGGATTAGATTTTTGAAACGAAAGATATTTAGGAATTCAAAAGACTATGCCGAGAGAACATGTACATTAGACAACTAATCAGTGAACTGAAAAACTCAATTTATTTTGTTATATATTGTGGATGAAAGAAAAATTGAATATTTTAGTTCTCTGTCACGTAGTTCGCTGTCTTTTAGTTAATTATCAGCCTCTTTATGTGCAATTCCACTTCTGACCCTATCCCCACTGCTTTTACTACTACAATGTTTTAAAGCTATGGATACTGTCGTTTTCTAGATCATCCTCATTCTCTTCTTCAATAATAGGATCAGATTGTCTTGGTTGGGCTTTGGCATGGTAAATTTGGGCATGGAGTCGACGCGTAGGAGAGGGTTAGGAGGGAAATTGGGAAGAGGGAAAGGGAGAGGGAAAGGGAGGGGGAGGGAGTCGTAAGTGGGTTGAGGAATGGTGGTGGAGCTTCCAATAGGAACAGTGCAGATGAGGCAAAGTTGAATTGAACCTCGCCTTAGGCATAGTCACTTAGGGCAGCGACGGTGTTCTTAAACGACATACCATATGGTGAATGGGCCACCTCAAAGGTGTTTTGAGCTGTCATTGCCTCCTTCATGAACAACTTTTGATCTTTAAATCGCGTTACGATCCCTTCGTTCTCCATCTTTGATTGTGTGGAGCCCATTGGCCTTCAAAGATTGTTCTGTACAACTATATATGTGTGTGTATGTGGTTATGGGTATAGAGAGCCAACCAAAGTTAAAACTGGATCGTAGAAGATCAATCTCCAAAGAGAGAGAGAGAGAGAGAGAGAGAGAGAGAGAGTTGAGACTTTTTGCTTTTTCTTTTGTTTTTGGGAATAGAAGACAAAGATCAAGATTAACATGATAGAATTGTTCGTCTTCCTCGTTAAGAGAATGGAGAGGTAAAAGGACAGGAGAAACAACTAGAAATTATTAACAGGGTATTTTTATCATAAATAAAAAATAAAATAATAAATTTGGACCTCTCGTCTTAAAAATTCAGTCGAAGTGGATCTCACATCTTAAAAAATACACATCTGAACTAATATATAAATTAGGTACCAATTTTATAATTTTCACAAATTTTGTTTAAAAAAAAAACAATTTTCACAAATTAAATGCGAAAACAAACGACCCGAATTCGAAAGAAAAATGCTCCAACCGCCAGCCCACTCACGCAAGCATTGTGCCGCCTTCGGTTTCTTTCATTCTGATACCTCTCGTCGGATTTAAATCTTTCTCAAACAGTTTCAGTTCTTCGCTTCTCTCTCTCTCTCTCTCATGCAAGAAAATATTTGTTTGTGCTCAAATCAAAAATCAGGTTTTGCCTTAGGGTTTAGTGTTAAAATGCTTATCTGTATTCGTAATTAGGTTTAGGGTTAGGGTTTCTAACTGTTAATACTTGTTGCGACCGGTCCGATTGTGTATAAACAATCACGATGTATGCTGATCGAGAAGAGGCTGGAAGGAAGACGTCAATAAAGGAGCGTCTTAATGGCTCATCCGTGGTTGATTCTGGTAGCCGGAGACTTATCACCGGAAAGAGGTGTGTTTTCCGCCACTCCTCATACACATACACATACACATACACATGGTATATCTTCTCTGTTCAGCAGAGGCGCTAATTCGACAACCACGTCGCACCTATTACAACCTCTTTTGTACAGCAGAGGAGCCGTAGCCCTCACTTATCAAACTTTGATTTGCTGCATCAACTGTCTTTGGAACTTTTTTTTTTGTTTTCATTGTCGTATAAGGAATAATCTTTTGCTAATTTAGTGTTTAAATTTGAATTTGGGTCGTGTGGAATTCCAATTACAAACCACAAATTTCATGCCTGGAAACGTATTTTCAATTGAAACTTCAAATTTGTAATCCAGAGGATCAGCCCTTTTTATTGTGGTAGATTTCTCAATAATTGAAACTGGAAAGGAAACTTGGAACATTTATGAATACATACCTTTTAATTTAACCTAAGCTCCTCTTTGTGATTATGGAAAAAAAATTACTGAACCAGTTGTTAATGAGCTCCATTGTAAGCAATTTGGGATTTGATATGTTGATCATGTGAGGGGAGAAAATTATGTTTTTGACTTGGGCTGCTTAACGATTAACACAACTATGCTCTGACTAGGGTAGTTGTTTAAGTTGGACACATGGTATTATTTTTAGGTTGAAAAATGACCATTGGAGTTTTTCTTATTGGCGGTCCTAATTTTTGTGGTAAGAGGATTGGTTTACTACTAACTGTGGATAGGTGATGATGCTTGTGGTTATGTCATGTGTAGACGATAATTATTAATTGTCACTTCTTATGCAGAGGTTTTCATGTCATGAGGTTGGTGACATGTGAAGATTCTAATGAATAGTTTTATTGTTTATTGGGAAAAAATTCATGCAAGATTCTATTGATGGAGTCTTCTTGTGTTGAGGGTGTGGCAGATCCCTGATTTTATCAGAAGCAACTTTCAATTGGCGCGCATGACCCTGTTATTATGCTAAAATGAATAATTGGCATGATTTGTCAAGATCAAATAAATATTACAAAAATAGTGCGTTGAGGGATTTGCCTCGCGGTGCATTCATTTTATGAGCAATTTTTTTTTCTTGCAATGCAAAAGAAGCACAGAAAAAGATGGCAATGTCTGGTATGCTTATATGATTGTGGTCCTTGTGGAGGGGTTTGAAGACGAAGAGAATCCCTAATGGAGACCACAGATATACAAAAGATAAGCAGCTGTATAATAGTGATACCTTGTCTTCTGTTAATACTAAATGGATCTTTCACGTATTTAAAAGGGGGAGACAAAAACTGTTACGAACTTTATGTTCTATGAAAGTTATTGATATAGCAACTTGCCAACATTTTTTACGGTGGATGTACTGTTTTAATATATCATGTCTTATATGCAATGGATTTGTATCGTTTAATATGATCAATTATGGTTATGTTTACTTGAGATGTATGGTTTCATCTGGTCACGAGGATTTAACTGTTGCCTGTTGGACAACTATGGGCCCGTTAGTTTTGATATATAGTGTAGATGCGCCTTTGATGAATATCATTTACTCAATTAGTTCATGAGGCCTCTGCTCAATTTTTTAGGCATAAAATTGTTTGATAAATTAGAACCTGCTATTTAGACTGAACTGCCATATTTTCTGCAGGGAGAGGCAAGATGACGACAAATGGGAACATGATCTTTACGAGTACGATGAACCTCAAGTTTCAAGTATGGATTATTTGAGATACTATCACATTAAATTAAACAATGCTGCCATAGAGTATTAATAATGTTGTCGTAGCTGTAGTAACTTCATTTTTATATAATATATAATTCTGATTGAATGCATTGCCATGTAAAGATCGCAGAGTTGGCTCTAAAGATCTTCGTTTGAAGCTCCAGAAGAAGAATATGGAGCAAGCAACTCCAAAAGTGAGAGGATCTCTTTCAGGAGGTAAAAGGGATCTGCGTGAAAAGCTTTCTGGGACAGTGTATTCACCGCCAGGAGACACTGATCTTCCAAAGCCAAAACCAGTGCTCGAGGGTAATAAATCTGCTAGGAATAGTGTCATAGTTGGAGCCCTTGTGTCAGAAGTGAAAAAAGTGGCCAGCCTAGTTTCTAAAAAGAAGACTCAGCAAAAGGCAAGAATCTCCTATTTTCCCTTTTAGCTGATAACATCGTAGTTCTGTGTCTTTAAGAATTTAATGTCAATTATGGGGGACTATCACATAATTTGCTGTGGCGTTGTTGATTCTGAGTTGATACTTCTTTGATGCAGGCTGAATCGGTGGATGGTTTCCTGCAGTCCCTTGGTCTGGAGAAATATTCAATCACATTTCAAGCAGAGGAAGTATGTGGTCTTTTTCCTTTGTATCCACATGTACTTGGTCAGTTTTTATCTTTACATTGAGAAATTTATTTTTACTATGAGCCTTTGGCACCTGCTGTTTGTGCAAGGTTGATATGACCACTCTCATCCACATGACTGATGATGATCTTAAGGCTATGGGAGTACCAATGGTTAGCTAACTAGACTCTTCGATGTGTATGCATGCTTTTTAACCATTTTACCGTTATTTATGCTATTGCTTTTACTGATTAAGAATTGAGGAGTTCTATATATTAAATTTGTCACCTTTAATTGAGATATTTGATTATTTTTATTACTTTTGTATTCATATATCTATTTATAATGAAACAAATACTTAAAAAGACTAAGAAATTCAACAGGAAGGAGATTTCTTAAACTAGAAACATTGCTACAGCCATAGAGGAGAGTAGTCTACACATCATAAGGGGTGTCAAAATGTATGATCCCTATTAAGAATTGTGTACACATGACAAAAGTTTATACATTTTTATCCTACAGGATCCAAATGACTTCTCTCTCTAGAGTTCAGATAAGTTTTGCTGACACGTCTCCTTATTATCTGCCAACCAAAAAGGAAAGAGAGGGAGGGGTTTTGGTTTTTTTTTTTTTTGGGGTGGGGGAGGAGGCCTCTTTGACATTGGCCTTACTGGGGCCCTTGAGTGACCTTTGTTCGAAGATGAAACAGGTGATCCGTCATCTCCTCAGCCTTTAAATGAATAATTCACCCTATGCAGATTACTGGAGATATTCATGTTTATCTAAGTCAAACAGGGTTAGTGGAACTACATACGTGTATATAAAGTAGACTGAGCTGTTCTTTGCCTCAGAGAGACATGATCTTGTCCATGATGGGAGTTGCATCTCAAGTTCCTTGAACAATTTGGGTCATAGGATGCTAAAACCAATCAGTTTTGTAAAGTTGGCCATATTTGCAATGTGGCTAAATTGACGGCAAAAATCTCACTTGATTTGCTTTGGCCAAGGATGTGATTTTACTTCCCTCCAACCCTCTAATAGAATTTGCATTGTGGAGTCTTCGGGCTTCTACATGAATTTCCAAATGATATTTTGGATAGAAAACTACTGAAGGTGCTAAAGTTTAGCTCCATGTAGATGCAAAATAGGATGTGTCATCAGCCAATTGGAGATGTCATCGCTAAATTTATTTTCCTGCCACCTTGTAAAGCACCCATCCTATGTTTTTGTACACTTCAAAATCTGCATATCGTCAGAAGTCGAACAGGATACATTGCATAGATTTGGTTGAACTTGGGTTAGATATATATTTCTAATCACACTTTGCCTGACTCCCAAAAGGAGGAAAATTCTTTTGTAAAATATTAGTGATGCTGTTTTTCATTGCAACATGTTGGTGATTGTTAAACTCTGGTGTTCAGTTGACCTTCAGTCCACTTTCTTCCATCCACTTGGTTGGAGATGTGTCTATTTCTCTTATGCAGGGCCATTTTTACCGGCCACAAACACCACTTGAACTCAATTGTTAATCTTACTTTTGTTCATGGTGCCTTCGTCCACAAGTCTAGAGCCATATAACTTCATGGTACTTTAATGTTTAAACCTTGACAATCCTTACATGATGCAACCATGTCGGGCAGTTTGCTTGCATTATTGTCTTCCCTTGGTGGTATGCACAAGTTCTTTACGTTTGTCAAGTGTTATATATCCATGTGACCTCCAATATTCTCATTTGAGCTGTGGACTTTTCTGACCTGTTATAAAATCTTGAGCACAAAGTAAAGAGTCATGCTCACACTAGGTTAGTCGCGCTCCAATTATACACGATTGCTTCTCATGGTGAAAGCAATACTGGTGACACTGTCCATTCATCCCATTGTTCTTTTAAGTCATGACATGTTTCTAATTGTAGGAAATGTAGAAACCCAATTTGTATCTGATTAGATCAGATGGGTAAAAATTGGATGTGTCCGCCTTCCTCGTGGTTACCTGCCTAGCTGTTAACCAGTTGGAGTCAGAAACCACTCATAGCATCATGGATTGATCTGTGGTTCATGTCCAAATGTATGACTTTTCTTTAACCATCTAACTTCACCAAGCATGCTGCTTTGCACCTTTTTATTTATGGATCTTTGGGTGTCATTTAGGATGCAAATTTGTTCAAATACTCCAGGTTCTTGATCCATGTCAATAGGTAGGATGCAAATTTGTTCAAATACTCCAGGTTCTTGATCCATGTCAATAGGGGTTTTACTTCTCTTGCCTTGTTGAATTTATGTTTTCCCCCTTGACCTTGGTTGTTCAGGGCCCAAGAAAGAAGATACTTCTGGCATTGGAGTCAAAAGTCTGAATGTTGTAGTGGACCCCATGACTTTGCTTGGTTGCCCAGATCCCAGTGACTTGGTCCAGCATCCCACGAAACAACTGGTATGAGCCCGCATGCAACTTGTTATTTTTTGGATGTATTTGTAGAAGTGGCTTTCAATGAGCTCCTCCTCATTGTTGTCTACCCATTCCGATATGGATAGCATGGGACACTGGTCAAAATTAATGAAATGAATGTGTTGCTTTTTTGTGGTGATGTTGATCCGAGTCATCTGGTAGCTCTATGTTTCAGTGGTGTTTGGTTTCCCTTTCTGTTGAGCACTCTCCAGTTTGTTTGAGGATAAGTATTTCTGTACTTTAACAGCTACGAATTGGGAAGGGAGACAAAGGGGCGGGATGAAAGGGACGATGTTTCTAAACATCTTACTTGATGCCATTTGATTTGGGTGTGATATGTTGGAGTTATGGAACAGTTTCTTCGTACGCGGGAATAAGAACTTGCTCTTGTTAGTGAATTAGAATCGGAAACTAGACTCTCTCATCGCAGTACATAAATCCAAGATGTTGATGGTAACCTCTGCTGGGATTTAAGCAGGCTGAACTGAAGGTCTTGGATCCGAGAGATGAAGAGAAGTGATCTTGAAATGCATAAGGGCCTTCCATAACATAGACTATATTGCCAACAAGACATGAACATTTCTGACTCCCTATATAAGAGCCTTAAGGGCTTTGTTTGGATTGATTTTTGGGAAGGATTAATTTAATGTTCATATATATGTATGATATGTCTATAGATATATCATTATTATAATAATATATTTGTATATAAATAGCTATTTTGTCCCTTCAGTAATCTAATTTAACATCATGTTTATATACGTATTGAATATAATTGTCTTTTTGTATCTTAAATTTATTAATCCTTATTCTAAACCCACCCTCCCATGTGTTTGATAAAACCCATGATCTAGGGTTTAAGGTTTGGGCCAATAGCGGGTTAGGCTTGTTAACTCAAACTTCAAATTTTTGGCTAAATATGAATTTTGTGTCATTCGGATAATTGTTTTCCAACCCATCCTCCAAAGCCTCCCTCAATTCCACTTACCAAACAGCTCCTAATGGTGTATTTGGATGACAGAGTTGGATTGAATTAGAGATCATAAAAAATATTATTTCCTATCTAATCTAAATTCACCCATGAATTAACCGGTTAAGATTTAATAGGTGTATCTTATGTTTCCCCGGTGTTTGGGTAATACATATGCAATTTTGTAGGGTCTATAGAGAAGTGTGATTTAATATGGTGTTTGCCCCTAACAATAAATTAAAATAATAAATAATATTAAAGAACAAAATAATATGATTAAATTAAAGAGCAAAACATTAAATTAAATTAATTTCTTTATGGTGGTGCATGAGGGACAACGGAATACAAAACAACTAGTGAGAATGGAGAATGGAGAATGGAGAATGGAGAAGGAGACAAGGCACGTCATGAATTAGCAAACTTCTCCAGCGAATCCGTTCGTTGTCGTAGTAGTGGCTGATGAATGAGACAAGTCAATATTAGTGTTAATAAATGAAAAATGGGTATAATAGTAATTATATTGAGATATTTTATCGGTGGTCAAATTATCCTAGACTCTTAGTTCTCGTGGGTTTCATTTAACTCATATATGCAAGTTAAAATTGACTTTTTAAATCGAATTGAGATAAACTCGAGTGGGATTTTCAATACACTTTTTTACTTACTAAATGCGTGATAAATGGATTACATATATATATATTTTTTCTATGGTATTGGTATTATTTTCTTTTAACTGGCGATCCAAACATACTCGAAGAGGGTAGTCTAATATCCGATGATTACATCCTTGCACGATCTAAGAAGAATCCGCATAGAAAGAGACAGTTGTTGCAAATCAAATTGATAAACTGATTTTTTTTCCCTTACATAATGTGAATATTATGGCCTCCTTGTTAAAGTTTTTTTGATAGGCAAGTCAAACCATTAACATGCCACTCGAATAGGACTTGCATTTAAATGGAAATATATGCATTGTTTTTGCTCAGAAATAAATTAAGAATTTAATGTCGTCACACTCTCAAAATATATCTCATTAGGGGTGTTCAAATTTTTAATTAACTGTAATTTCTTATCTCACCCGACCCTATTGAACGGTTTGCCAAAAAATCGAGTAAGAATGCAAAAGTGCTTTTGATTTTCTGATTAAATCGGGTAGAAATGCAGAATAACTATTAATTTCCGTATTTCTATCCTACTCTATCCGCATTATTTTATATATATATATATATATATATATATATATATATAAAACCCTAATTCTCTAGTCATATGGTTTAAATTTAAAATAATTGTTATTGTATTTGTGCAACAATTATGATGGATTGATGTTGATGTTTTTTTGTGTTTTATTGTAATTGTTTTTAATTTTAGTGTTATTGGTTTATTATATTATTAAATTAATACATGTTATTTAATTGAATTGTTAAAATAATCCAAAAATTAATAACTATAAAAACGTTCACCCAATTTTCTATCCGATTAATTTGGCTGAAAGTCGGGTAAGAATACCACATTTAATCAGATAAGATAAGTCAAGAAAAAATTATTTCGTAAAGTACCGGGTAAGGGGACGAAAGACCATATTTTTTATTTGTATGGTAGGATGATCACTCCTAATCAAAAAATAGAAAGAGATATTTTTTAATATATTTTTTATTTATTTTTACATACGCTAAATTCAAATAAGACTTATCGTATATAACGCTAAGAAAAAAGAAAAAGTATTCAATAGAATCTAATTTTCACAACAAAACGAAATCATTGTGAACAGACAGAGGATCCCGATCCGTCTAATGATCAACAACTATAATTGTTTGTTTCCCTTCCGACAGTCCAACTTGTCAGCTTGTATAAGCTGTAATGACGAACAAGTGAAGTTCCAGCGTCCCTTTTGATTTATGCGGCCATTTCAGTGGCCAAAAGACCTAAAGCCTCTCCTTTTACGCTTCAAAGACAGGGCATCCATTGCTAAAATCCACGCTATCATGATATCATCTGGGACATTCGACCGTGGAACTTCTTTCAATGGCCAATTGGTAGCATCCTATATCCGAATTGGCGACATTGAATCAGCCCGACTAGTGTTCGATAAATCGCCCCACAGAGCCGTAGATGCTTATAATGCCATGATCATTGCGTATTCACGTAAAGTTTGCCCACTAGAAGTGATTAAACTGTACAAGCAAATGAATTTGGAAGGAGCTAGACCCGATAGCTCTACTTTTACGTTGGCACTAAAGGCGTGTACAAGCTTGTTAGATTTGGATATGGGTGAAAAAATTCGAACCAATGCTGTGAAATGTGGATATGAGCATGATATGTTTGTTGGGTCTTCTGTTTTGAATTTGTATGCTAAGTGTGGCCAAATGGATGAAGCAATGGGTGTGTTTGAAAAGATTCCGGGGAGGGATATTGTTGCTTGGACGACAATGATAACGGGGTTTGTACAAAGTGGTCGAGTGAGTGACGCGATATGGATATATAGGCAGATGCAAAAAGAGGGCATAGAAGGGGATGGGGTTGTGATGTTGGGGTTGATTCAGGCTTGTGCAAATATTGGGGATACGAAAATGGGTCTTTCTGTTCATGGACATATGATTAGGAGGGATCTTCTTATTGATGTGGTGGTGCAAACCAGCCTTGTGGACTTGTATGCAAAGAATGGACAGTTGGAGCTTTCTTCTCGTATGTTTAGGAATATGAGTCATAGGAATGCTGTTTCTTGGAGTGCTTTGATTTCTGGCTGTGCTCAAAATGGTTTTGTTGGGAATGCACTTGAACTATTGAAAGAGATGCAGAGTTTTGGGTTTGAGCTGGATTTAGTGTCACTGATGAGTGGACTTTTGGCCTGTTCTCAAGTTGGTTTTTTGAAACTGGGTAGGTCGATACATGGATATATCATGAAAAGGCTTGATCTAGATCAAGTTCTTGGCACTGCATTGATTGACATGTACTCAAAATGTGGATTCCTTTCTAATGGCCGTGCAGTATTTGAGCTGTTAAGTTCTAAGGACTTGATCTCCTGGAATACAATGATTGCCAGCTATGGTATCCATGGACAAGGAATGGAGGCTCTCTCACTCTTCCTCCACATGACAGAGACAGACTTAAAACCAGACCATGCAACTTTTGCTTCTCTGCTCTCTGCCTGTAGTCATTCTGGTTTAGTAGAAGAAGGGAAATACTGTTTTGATCGCATGGTATATGAATTCAATATTAAACCAAGCGAGAAGCATTATGCTTGTTTGGTTGATCTTTTGGCTCGTGCCGGACGAGTGGAAGAAGCTCGTGATCTGATAGATTCAATGACAACCGATCCAGGGATTGCTGTGTGGGTTGCCCTTCTTCTAGGTTGCCATATACATCGTAAGTTGTTGACTGGAGAGTTGGCAGCAAAGAAGGTTCTTGAGTTGAAGCCAGATAATCCTGGAATTTATGCTCTAGTTTCAAACTTTTACGCCGCAGCAAGGAAGTGGGATGAATTTGCTGGGGTGAGGAAGGTCATGAAAAATACAGGGATGAAGAAAGTACCTGGTTACAGTGTTGTGGAAGTGCATGGAAAACTCCATGCTTTTCTTATGGAAGATAAGAGCCATCCCCAATATGAACAGATTGCGGGAATGTTGGAGAAGCTGGAGCATGAGATGACAGCTATGGGTTATATCCCTAACACAGAATTTGTGCTGCACAATCTTGAAGAAGAAGTCAAAGTAAAAATGGTGTGTAGTCACAGTGAGAGACTTGCTATTGCTTTTGGGCTCTTGAACACAGGGCTAGGAACTAGATTGCTCATCACAAAAAACCTCAGAGTCTGCTGGGATTGCCATGAAGCAACTAAGTTTATCTCCAAAATAGTGAATAGAGAGATTGTGGTGAGAGACGTGAAACGATTTCATCACTTTAAGGATGGAGTCTGCTCATGCGGTGACTACTGGTAAACCCTGATATAAGAGCTTACTTTCCCCTTATTGGGTTTTGCTTGGTTCAAGTACCCAATTCTCAGGCCAAGGTCCTATCACCTTTGATTGAAGAAATTTTGACTATTGTAACTTGATCGTGGCAGAGAGATGGATTGCGTACTGAACTTTAACATTAATGTAAAGAAACAGCATTATGTTTCATGGACTTAATCACCCTATTGAATCCGATAGGATTATACTTGTGTATTAAAATTCCACCAACATCGTTCTCTGTTTCTTTTTCCAACCATTTTTGGGTTCATGCATAACAAGTTAACAATGCAGCATCCAATTGAAAGAGCTTTTGTTAGAATCAAAACCTTACTTGTACATCCATAACAAAGGCCTGTCATTTTGCAAGTCTTCGGCTTGAGTATGAATTGATACAAATTAGAGACGGAGGTTCTTGCAGCCCAGATCTGCTGAAGTTTTTCTGGATACTGTTGTAAAATTTATCCTTCTTACCCAAACATTCCAATCCCATAGAGTGTCTGATTCCTTTCTCTGGAAACCTCTTCTGTCAAGATAACCTGCAGTTGATAATGCATTTGAGAAACTTGAGCTGTCATGTCTGAGCAGATGCAGTGGAAGGCAAGGAAGATGGAAAGTATGAAGCAAATCATGGGGATTTCCTGAAGTAATTGAGGTAAAACAGTACAAATTTTTCCTGGTGGGAGTGGGGAATTAATAGTTTGTGAAATGTATAACATCTAGAGTCCCATATATGGGATTTATTCTGGATCTCATTTCGTGGAGCATTTGATCCCACGGGTTTCTCCGAGATTGATCGGCAATTGGTAAGCATTACCACTTTCTTGCTAGGAAACCCTTTGATCTCTAATGGAAAATTCTGTAATTCTTGTTTTCTCTTTGCAAAAGGTAATAACTTATTAAGTCTTGAATTATCTTCAGGTTTTCTCTAATATTTGGTCTCTATGAACTTTTTGAATGAATCAACAAATGCTCAAGTGGCTTCTAAAAATATTTTCTTATTCTATGGTACACTTGTTTATTGTCTTAATTTTTGGTCTGATAGATGATTCTGTGCACTCTTTCTATAATATGGTTTATAACTAATAATTGACAAGAAATTTTGGAAAGAGATCCTAATCTCACAAATGTTGCTCATTGGCAAAAGAGATGGTGGGAATGTATGGTGCTGTAAATCATGACATCCATGATTTAGTACCAAATAGAGACCCAAAATTTTAGGGCAGTAATTTTACCTACTAGTATAAGGAAAAACCCAATTTAGGCCCTAGAGATGAAAATGTCACACCAGCCAAAAATAATGGCCATGTTAGAATTTTGAAGCAGGTCCCTGACTATGCCTGGCATGCACAAAATCTACACCCGTACAGATCTTTGGTGAGTTTTTAGCAGTTAGCAATTTGATTGTAGCTGGCATATTAATATTGTCTCTAATGTTAGCCAATTTTTTTTTCTTTTTGGTGTTTCTTATAACATCACCATTTCCATTTCAATGAGAAGGATTTTTTTTTTTTTTTCTTGATATTCTACGAGGGGGTCCTAATTTCTTCTAGTACATTTTCTCTTAGTTTTTTTCAGTAGCACAGCACTTACGTGTATTAGTGACAGATCCCCTTATGAGTTGTGGGACTCGGTTCAATTTTTTATCCGTGATCTACCAATGAGAAAGAATATAGAAAAGTATAATGGAAGGGATGCGAATAGAAGGTGCAAAATTCCCTGACTTTAGGTCATTAGAGGTTCTTCCCTCCCACGTCAAGCCCACGATGGGCATTGGTAAGCTATAAAGCACAGATATTTCGTTGAGGTTGACGTATCCATATTCAATACCGTATCGGATACGATACTCGTCGAATACTCAATGATATGTATCGGATACACTTTTTATGTATTCGATAATAATTAAATATTAGAATATTTTATGGATATTTTTGTGAGAGTTAAATTTTTAACATCTCTTTTCGAATTCACATACCATATAATACATTAATAAAAAATTCATTTTACTTTAAAGGCACATGAGTGTTTCTTAAGTATTATCTACAATTACATGTCAAAAGAGTATAAAATAAAACTATTACATTATTATCTTAGCAAAAATTACTTCTAAATACTAGGTAAATATTAGTTTTGATTCTTTTAATTAGTCACTTCACTTTGTGAATATACTACAGCGATACGATATATATTTTCTTGAAACTAAAAAAAAATTACTAATTTTCCTTATTATATATTAAAGAACTACCAAACTATATAAATATTAAGCTGGTTGAAAATAATAAAAATATTAAATATATTTTATTATAGTCGCATTTTGGCCGTACTTGTATCCTACTTTTTAAAACTTTGTCATATCACCGTATCCGTATCGTATCATACTCATATTTCGTATCCGTATCTGTGCTTCATATGTGGTAAGCCATTACTTCATTTCATCAAAATGGCTACCTAGTCATGCTTTGAAGCAAATCCTTTCTCCACCCTTAGTATTCATGGGACCATCAGCAAATGAATTTACCAAAATTTCTTATATTCGAGTATCTGTACAACCTAATTTTAACCAATATAAGACATTATGGGTCACCCAGAATTAAATGTGATAATCCTCTTGAACCATTCTTTTACCATCTTTTCCATGGAAATGAATCTGCTAAGGTTTTGCCCTTCTATATCAGTCCGTAATGACAAACAGATGACCCTCTCATTTTCTCAACTTGCAGTATAAATTGGGAACGCTTCAAACACTACTCTCCACACAAAAGATGTACTGGACATACTTAGATACAAGAGATGGGTGATCATGGAAACAGTTAATAAGGCACGTTTCCTCCTCGCTCTTCTCGTGGTGTTCCTTGCCATGGCTGAGGGAGGAAGGGACGTCTCGATGAAAGACGATGTCTACAATCCTCAGAACTTTTTTGGAAATGGTTGGTTCCCATTTTTTCCCTTTTTCCCTCATTTCCCCTGGTTTGGAGGTATCCACAAAGCTGAAGCTGGGCAAAACGATTTGGTGAAACGCAAAGAGGGGGTCTGAGGTGTTCCTAAAGTCTATGGGAAGTCTGCAGAGGGATACCCATGATCATATGATCCATGTTTATGGTATCCATGTTTATGGTACTTAGGCAGGGTATTTATGTGCATAAATAATGTCTACTCCTGCTTGTTTTAGTAGTTTTACTAGTGAGGCTGTTTGGGTTATGCTGTTTATATGTTTATCTTGTTGTTTAGTACTTCCATTGGAGTTATGCCTCATCTGGGGTTGCAGTAACTTCTGGTGATTGCTATGCAATAAAAAATCTTTAAAATATGTGCCTCTCTCTCTCTCTCTCTCTCTCTCTCTCTCTCATATTACATCTGTAAATTTTAAGCTCCCCAGACACAACCAGAATCTCCCAAAATCCAAAACTAATGAGGCTTGTACAAACACAGCTTGAAAACAGTGGAGTTTTTGAAACTATTGCTTCAAAGGTATTGTTGCTAAGATGTTCTTGAAGGAATGTAATTCTGAAACGGTTTCCATAAGCAACTAAACATAGACTTCAAGAGGAAGAGCTTTCATATTTGTTATGGGAAGCAATGAGAATTGTTACGAGTGTGTAGGTGGTTTCTTTTTTGGGGTAGGGGGGGCGGGGGTGCTCTGTGTCATGTATAATCTGATGTGACAAACAGATAATATTGGATTCAATATTCAGATGACAAGCACTGGGTTATATCCTCACCAAAGTATCATGGAGAAAGTTTTGACATTAAATTGAAAAACAGAAAATCAGTGTTCCATTAACAACATGAATTAAGTTACTATAACTGGTGGGAGAAAACCAAGATGAAATGGAAATCCATCTCAAGAAGCAATATAGATGATACAATTCTCAATCCAGAACTAAAATTACAAAAATCTTACCACCGAGTTAAAGAAGCATCTGCCACTCCTCTTCCTCTTCTTATATTAAGGACTGAGCCACAACACATAATGGGCAGTATCAGAGACACTTGATTAACATCACCTTTGACCAAAACTAATTCCAAAACTTGAATTTCAGTTCTGCCAAAATTTCCTAGCTCCTATATCCTAGAGCTTGGGTCTTGAAGATTTTGGTTGTCTTTTAACAGATGCTCATATTCTAGTAATAAATCAGCAGCTTGTTTCTGGAGTGCAGCAACATGAGCTTCAGCAGTTTCCCGTTTGTCCTTCTCTGCAAACTCCAACTTAAGCTTCTTTAAGTTGTCTGTTAAATTAGAAAATTCTTTCTGCAACTACTTTATATTCTCGTTGGCTTTCTCTTCCCTTTCTTTAGGCTGCAGTCTTTCTTTCTCAAGCCTTTCAACTTCCTAAATTGAAGCTGCCACAGTAGTTCTCAGCTTGACCTATTTTCTAAGATAATGGTGCATATGATCAATTAAAAATCCAAGAAACAAAGAGAAACCTGCAAGATCAATTTTAGGCATTTAGGGACAAAAAATTGGGCTGAAAGGGTTAGATCAGAAAATTATCAGTCATTGGTGTCCTGATAGTAAGCCACTAATTGAAGCCAGATAACCCTGGAATTTATGGCCTACTTTCGAACTTTTATGCCGAAGCAAGGAGGTGGTATGAAGTAGCAGAGGTGATGAAGAAAGTACATAGTTACAGTGCTGTAGAAATTCATGGGGAACTCCATGTTTTTCTTATGGAAGATAAGAGTCGTCCTCAATATAAACAGATTATGGGAATTTTGGACAAGCTAGAGCTTGAGCTGAAAGCTATGGGTTATATGCCAACACAGAGTTTGTGTTGCACAATATTGAAGGGGAAGTCAAAGTAAAAATGTTGTGTAATCACAGTGACAGACTAGCTATTGCTTTTGGGCTTTTGAACACAGGGCCAGGAACTAGATTGCTGATCACAAAAAAAACAGTCTGCAGGGATTGCCATGAAGCAACTAAGTTTATCTCCAAAACAGTGAATAGAGAGATTGTGGTGAGAGACAAGAAGCGATTTCATCACTTTAAGGATGGAGTCTGCTCATGTGGTGACTACTGGTAAACTCTGATATAAGAGCTTGCTTTCCCCTATTGCGTGTTGCTTGGTTCATGTATCCAATTTTCAGTCGAAGGTCCTATCACCTTTGATTGAAGAAATATTATGATTATTGTGACATGATCGTGGCAAACAGATGGATTGCATACTGCAACTTATAACATGACTGTAAAGAAGCAGAATTATGATGCATGAAATAAGGACTTCTAATCACCCTATTGAAATTCCACCAACACCTTTCTCTGTTGCTTTTTCGACTATTTATGGGTTCATGCCTTACAGGTTAACAATGCAACAGCCAATTGAAAGTGCTTCTGTCAAAATCAAAACCTTAATTGTACCTTATAAAAAAGGCTGGTCATTTTGGAAGTCTTTGGCTCGAGTATGAATTACTAAAAATTAGGGGGAGGTTCTTCAAGCCCAGATCTGCTGAAGTTCCTCCAGATACTGTTGTTAATTTTCTCCTTTGTATCCAAACATGCCAATCCAATAGAGCGTCTGATTCCTTTTTCTGGAAACCTCTTCTGTTAGGATAATCTGCAGTTGATAGTGCATTGGAGAAACTTGAGCTGTCATGTCTGAGCACCTGCAGTGGAAGGCAAGGAAGATGAAAAGTATGAAGCAAATCACGGGGATTTCTTGAAGTAATTGTGATAAAACAGTGCAGATTTTTCCTTGCGGCAGAGGGGAATTAATAGTTTGTGAACTGTATAACTGGGGTTTTCTCAGTCAATAGAAAGAAAGAAGACAGAAAGCCTACATGTAGAGTCCCATGTATTGTGTTTTTTCTGGATCTCACTTCGTGCAGCATTTGATCCCACAGATTTCTCTGAGATGATTGGGAACTGGCGAGCGTTATCACTAATATAACTACTAGTTAATCTTGAATTATCTTCACATGCAGAGGCAGTTCATTTGCATACATGTTGCTGAGGATAATGAGTGAAGTTCCGAGCTTTTTCGTATCCTCGGGTTTTCTCCTCCTCATGAACTCTGTACTTTTTGAATGATTGAATCAACAAATGCTCAGGTGACTTCTAGACATATCATATTATGCTATGGCACACTTGTTTATTGTCTTCATTATTCGTTTGATGGATGATTCTGTCGTAAACTCTCTATGATATGGTTTAGAACTAACTGATCGACAAGAAATTGTTGAAAGAGATCTTACTCTCACCAATGTTGCTCATTGGCAAAAGAGATGGTGGGCATGTATGATGCTGTGCCAATTGAGATGCTCAAATTTAGGGCACTAATGTTATCTTCCACCATCCAAAAATAGTGGCCATGTTATAATTTTGAGGCAGTTTCCCTGAATATACCTGGCGTGCACGAAATGTAGATACATACAGGTCCTTGGTGAATTTCTTAGCAGTTAGCAATTTGATTATATATGGAATACAGATCTTTAGTGAATTTATTAGCAGTTAGCAATTTGATTGTACCCCTCACCTGCTTAGCTCCTATTATAATTACGAAAATAGTCCCTACTATATCTCAATTTCTATTTCAACGAGGGAATAATTCTGTTTTTGATCTTTTATGAGGGGATTTAGATATTCTCTAATGCACTTTTCCTCAACTTTCTCAGAAAATACATTGGTTGCATGTATTAATGACGGATCCTTTATATTTAATGGGTCTCAGTTGAATTTTTAATACCCGACCTTTGGATCGGACGATATTCTCCCCTTCTACACCAAGCCCAGAAATGGGAGGTGGAATGCCATTACTTCATCTCATCAAAATGGCTACTTAGTCATGCTTTGAAGCAAATCCTTTCTCCAACCTTGGTATACATGGGACTATCAGCAAAATAATTTACTAAAAATTCTTACAAGTGAGCATCAATACAACCTATAATATTAACCAATAGAAGACATGATGGGCCACCCAGAATTAAACATGATAATCCACTTGTAACCATTTTTTGCCATTTTCCCATAGAAATGAAACCGTTGAAGCATTGCCATACTAATCTCAGTCCAGGAAGATAATCCATAAGACCCTTTCATTTTCTCAACTTGCATTATAAATAGCAAAGGCCTCAAACACTGCTCAGCACACAGAAGATATCTACTACACATACTTAGATACAAGAGAGAGGTACCATGGAGAGAGTTACCAAGGCACATTTCCTCCTCGCCCTTATCGTGGTGTTCCTAGCTGTGGCTGAGGGAGGAAGGGATGCCCCAATGAAAGACGACGTCTACAACCCTCAGAACTTTTTTGGCTTCGGCTGGTTCCCTTTTTTCCCATTTTTCCATCATTTCCCCTGGTTTGGAGGCATGCACAAAGTTGAAGCTGGGCAAAAGGATAGGGTTAATGGCAAAGAGGGGCTCGATGATGTTCCAAAGGTTTATGGAAATGCTGCAGCTGGATATCCATGATCATATTATGCATGTTTATGGTACTTGGGCTGGGTGTTTATACACATAAATAATGTTCACTCCTGCTTGTTTTCCTAGTGAGCCTGTTTGGCTTTGTGCTGTTTATGTATGTTTGTGATGCCTGTAGTTCCAGTGGGTGTTGCTTCTCTGGGGTTGCTGTCACTTCTCTGTTTGATTGTTATGCAATAAAGTGATCTTTAATATATAAGCTCCTCTCTCTCTCTCTCTCTCTCTCTCTCTCTCATATTACATCTTTGAAAAGTAGAAAATCAGTGTTTCATTAACTTCAATTGAGATTCTAAAGCAGGTAGGAGAAAACCAAGATGAACATGTAAAGTCTGCCTGAAGAAGTAATATAGATGATTCAATTCTCAATCGGGGGGAAAAAAATTCAAAATTCTTAACACTCTGGGTTAAAGAAGTAGCTCCCACCCCTCTTCTTCCTCCTATATAGCAAGGGCTGAACCCCAACACATACCGAGCAGTACAAGAGATGATTAATTCCAAAACTTGAATTTTAGGAGTTCGGCCAAAATTTCTCAGCTTCTATATCCTAGAGCTTGGGTCTGAAGGTTTTGGTTGTCTTCTAACAAACGGTCATATTCTAGTAGTAGATCGGCGGCTTGTTTCTGGAGGGCAGCAACATGAGCTTCAGCAGTTTCAACCTGTTTGTCCCTTTCTGTGGACTCCAACTTAAGCTTCTTTAAATTGTCTGCTAAATTAGAAAAATTTTTCTGCAACTTCTTTATGTTCTCGTTGGCTTTCCCTTCGTTTTCTCTCAGATGCAGTTTTTCTTTCTCAAGCCTTTCAACTTCCTTTCTTGAAGTTCCCATAGTAGTTCTCAACTCAACCAATTTTCTAAGATAATGGTGCATGCGATCAATTAAAAATCCAAGAAACAGAGAGAAACCTGCAAGATCAATTTTATGCATTTAGTGACACAAAACTGGGCTGATTTATCATTCATTGGTCCTGAGGCGTAGAACTACACACTAATATCAAGCAAGATTTGTGGAGTGCAACATTAGTCCATGTGTGTACTGATCTATATAGTAATTCCTTCATTACCAGCACATCTCTTAATAATAACGCTTCCCAGGTAAATGCGAGTCTAGATCCCCTGATAATACATGTGTGTGCTTATGAAGATAACAAAACAGACCAACCTCATATCCCACTTATTTTCCAGATCTCAAACACCAAGCAGGCAACGTAAATTTCACATTCCATATCATACTAATGTCGTTTAAAGTTTTTTTTTTAAACAAAATCTCGTTTAAAGTTGAGTAGCCACCTCCTATGAAGCAACATGCAAACAAAATAATAATTGACCCAAAGTCCACAAATTCAACAGTGTTGACATTATGAATTCAAGTGGGCAAAGTAGGTGCTAAACAAGCTTGCAGGTAAGTCTATTAATTTTTAATGCAATTTAGAAGTATCTAATATTTCTGATGGGAAAATCCACAAATCAGTGGGTTCAATATTAATTTTCCTCCTCATAATTCAAGGTGACTCAATAAAAGCATGTTTCCAGCCATTTGATTGCTTCCTCATTTCCTTTCTGGGGCTATAATTAATATATCATACATCAACCATATACTTTCTTCTCATCCTTGAGCTATACTTCGACAATTATATGTTGCCTTCTCCCGTTTTGCAGCAAATTCTTCAACTCAAACTCATATCAAACACATTAAAGTAGTCACTCTTTCCAGCATAATTACATGCCATTTTACCAGTTTGTCTGTTAACATCCCTAGATGCAATTATAAACAGATTCAAGAAGAAAAATGGCTTTTCCACAGCTAATGTGTTTATTTGGTGCATGCAAAATCTTACTACCAATAAAGTTTTTATTTTATTTTCCATGCGTATTATGATTTCCCCATGTTAGGTGATTAAACTATTAACTGGAAGTGAAATCATGTATCAGAAAATTCAAACTCTCCCCAGAAATCTTTTGTATCTCTCAATGCAATATAAATATACAATGATCGAGCATTAAATGAAAAGAAATAATGTTTTACACAGAAAGAACATAATAAACCACACAAGCAACAGATTGAGAAGGCAAATTTCAAATCCACACAGCAATTAATGAACAAACAACATATCCCCACATATACCCAAGAGGATTAGAGTCATACCCACGAGAGAAGCCTCTAGCAAGTGTGTCCTCCAGAGAACCTGATCCATTGGAGTCATGGTACCAACCTTAGCACCCTTGTTCTGAATCTTGACAATGCTAATAAAGTTGAAAAAGAGGATCACAGACATAACACTAGCAATAGTTAGAACAGTACCATTTCTCACCTTCACCTGATCCAAACCCTGCATCACCAGCTCTCTCAGTAGCCCAATCTTCACCATTAGAAGAAATGCCACCATGCCCTCACCAAATAGAACCAAGAACAACAACTGAATCATCTTTTCCACAAGAAAACTCCCACCTTCCACTATTAACAATGGCTAATTTGTCATAAATGGCTGCTTTAAATTCAGAGATAAGAATGGAGATCTTTCATAAAACCAGATTCTCCCCCAGAAATAGAACCATAGGTCCCAGGTTTAGGCACTACCAGAAAGAAACAAGCTGTTGGGAGGAAACCCATTTCTCCTGTATATGTAAACTAGACCACCGACAAGCCAATCTTGGTGGGAAAACCTAAATTTTCTATTCATGAAAGACTAGAATAAGTATTCTTGAATAAACCAATTTCTTATTTTCACATGACTAAGAATTTGATTGGAATAATATCCCCTTAGAAATCAATTCTTGAAAATCCCAACATAAATCAGCAGTCAAAAATCTGTAATTTGAAGTAAAACAAAAAAAAACCACATTTTTTGCAGAGCTAAGCTCTGCAAGGAATTGAGGGTTTAGGGCCACAGATCTGCAGAATGAGCTACCATAGACAGAAACTAGCTTCTTTAACTGAATATATGTGTTCCCTTTAAGCTGTCTAAAATTGTTAGTTAGAGATAATTAGAAACTTAATTTATTATAGTCACTGAATTAATTATAATAAATTAATTGTAAATTTTAATAATAATTATTATTATAAATAATTAATCCCTAAATTAAACACTGTTGGTATATTTTAATATTATATATAATTCATTGTAATAATAAATAATGTACATACATAAATCTATAATACATATATATATATATATATATATATATATATATATATATATATATATATATATATATATATATATATATAAATACATACACATGCACATTATTTCATATATGTATGAATTGATTATCATTAGATGCATGTATAGCTACGTATATGTACTTTGTACACAATAGTAGAAGTAGAAACAGATCTCTCCCACGATAAATTGTGGTTTGACAAGACAGTAATTCTGACGAAACGAAAGGTTTATTTTCAGGATTTTTGATCGCCTCTGGCTTAGATTTGACTCATCCAAAAGTGAATTTTGATAACAAGAAGTAGGTTGAGAGGGACAAATGGGCCTTAAGGACCGGTGATGAATTGTTTGTTGGGTCGCTTGATCGGTCCTGGAAGACTGTGGGAGGATCCTATGACACAAAAAAATAAGTTAGAAGGGTGCCGGAGTGCTCTCCAGCGTATCCCCTCCGACAATTAAGTCAATTTTTTGAGAGAGGAGAAGAAGAAAGCACTGCATAGTTCCTTTTAGAAGTTCTTGCATACCTTTGCAAATACGTTTTTGAGAACTATTTATACCTTCAAAAGCTCACGATTGTTGATAGTCCACCCAGCAGGTATTTGTCAGAGATGAGGCAGTGTGCTCCTCACCTTTATGGGGAATAGGTTTGGCTTTAACTGATCGGGATGCCAAGCATTTAAAGCTTACTCCTCGGTCTACCGAGAATTTAATTTTCCCTTTCTCGGCGAGGATCCATTAAATATCCAGATATGGGAGTCTTTAATGCACTTCACTTCTCGGCCCCCTGTGCCTTAATTGCTGTCTCATCAGGAGGAAGATTCATTAAATGCTTATTTGGTCTAGACATGTGTCAGTAGGGGTATCGAGGTCTTTTTGTTACTGATTTGATATCACATTCCACGTGTCCACCCCTCCTTGGCTGTAAGTTCTGCATTCCTGCGCCTCTTAATACCATGGAGCAAAGCATCTTCATGATGGCTAGCCTAGCCTGGCCTAGGCTAGTCATCTGTCAATCATTTGATTTTATAGAAACGGAGGAGTGGTGGGATCCAGCGTGTAGAAGGAACACCTTGGCGCCGAGGGATATTGGCCTATTTCGGGGTAGAGGGTTTTCACCGCGCCGAGAATATATATGTCGCTCGCACCGTTGGGAGGGTCCCTTGGCTCTGAGCATTTATCATCTCGACAGAAGGGGATAAGCTACGCCGAGGACACGTGGCCATACCTGGTTAGGAATATAATGATGTTGAGAATACGTGTCGTCGATTTGTTTCCTTCCAAAAATGTCTCATCAACTCTCCTGCATCTTTTGATGCAGGGGAGACGTGTCGTCAGAAGGCGAAGGGTTTTATAAATGCCCCAACCACCTCATCATTACTTCCAGCCATTTTTCGTCGCTTTAGAGATTGTGCGCATTAAATGCGCCTTTTAGTGTTTCGTGAGCAATGATGAAGATAGTTACTATATAAACTAAACCCCCTTCTCTTTTATACATTTTAGTTTACGCGAAGAAACTTACGAGAGTTTGGCCGAAAAACTCCAAAAAGAACCAGCTGCACCACCGCCTTTCCAACTATCACCAAAGCAAAAAAAAAAACACTTGCGCCACCATTGCCACCAAACTTTTGACGACAAAACAAGTCCTTCTAAGCTTCCAGACCCTTTCCTTAGTTCTCTGGTGAGTCCTTGCTTTCTCTTTCTTCTTTTTCCTTCTTCCTTCTGATTTTTCCGGTGACCGGTGGTCTTCCTGGTCCCCATCAATCTCCCCAGTGGTTTGAAAAACTCCTTAGGAACTTTTTAAGGGGAGAAATCCTTGTTTCCTTTGTAGATATGCCTAGAGCCCGCCCTAACACCGAGATCCAAAGTACTGGTCCCTCGAGGCTAGGGAAATACAGGATTAAGGGGGATCAGCAGATAGAGAGTTTTAGATCCCGTTATCGCATACCTAGTAATGTTGGCATAGAGGAATTTAAACCTACTCGGCATAATCGTGATGTCGGGACCGAGAATACAATGTCTTTCTACACCAAGGCTATTATAGAGGGTGGGATAAGATTCTCTTTGCCCCTTTACTCCTTCAATTCCTCTCCCGGTTCGATCTCGTCCCCGCCAATGTTGCCTGAATGTCTTTAGGATAGTAATGGGGGTCCTAGAACTCAATAGGCGTCTCGGGTCAATCTTGGTCTCGATGACATTCTCTTCTGCTACTCCTTGTTGAGGGTGATACCCCAGCAAAATTTCTATCTCAAGGCAAGGGACCCATCCATGTATCTAATGACTCACCTCCCTGATTCAGACAAGGGGTACAAGGATGACCTGTTGGTCTTTAGTGGGGCATGGGAGAGAGGAACCGGCCCCAAGTATGTTGGTCTGAGGTGCCCCCTGCAGTGGAGAACGACAAGTACGTCGGCCTCTTTGCGCCTTTTTTTGTTTATATCTTCTTTAAATGTCTTGCCAATTTTTAACGAGATCCTTTCTTATTTGCGCAGATGTCTCTACTCGTGAAGTTGCTCCTCCTTCCCGGCGCTTGATGAATTTTACCGACCTTGCCATGTTTGGGGACACGTCAACGGCGACAATTTTGGCCGAGCTGGACACATCCTCCTAGGTTACACACCAGGATACAAATAATTTTCTCAGCTCCCTCAACCCTTCGATCTCTCATGGTGGTCCGAGTTCTTCAACCAGGCAACGCAGCAAGACTTTGAGCAGGACTTAGAGAGAGATCCCGATAGAGCCACCGAGGCTGAAGTTGAGGGTGTCGCTGAAGTAGAAGAACCCGAGGTCAAGGAGTCTTTTGTGCTTGCATACACCGAGGTTGGTACTTCGGGGAAGGGTGGCGGGGTCCGACATCAACATTCTTCAATCCTTGGACGTCGAGGATGCGCTAGAGGCAGTCATGTCACCCCCACGAATTGACTTGAGCTTCTTGAGGCAGAGGCAATCCCTTGTTCTCGGGAGGGACAGGGGATCATCCTCCAATGTGCCTCCACCTCCTTCAGGGGCCAGTAACATTGTCCCTCCAGAACCAAAGCCCACCGGTCAGGGCCAGGTACGCCACAAGGACCCTCATATAGAGGAGGAGATGAGAATCAAACAAAGACATGATAGTCAGGGCCGAGGTAGGTCCCCCTCCCCTCCGCAACAAGGCGGCAGGGCCAAGGGAGGGGCCCTTTACCTCAGCCACAAGTGCAATAATAGCAGCAATAACAACAACAACAACATCAAATTCCACCTCCTCCTCCTCCACCGACAGAGGCTGCGGCAGAGTGGAACCCCCGAGCTATTGACCATATGAACAGGGTCATCCGGATTAATGACTCCATCTCCCAGGATCCTCATATGGCTTACACGATGAGCGAGATGTGTCACTTCGGGGCCGACATGTAGGCTCATCGGGAGCAGACGACAAACTCGATGTTCCGCTCAATCATTCAAAACTCCTTGGTGGTAAGTTTAACTCTTATGGTTGTTTTTCCCATGTTTCAACAACTGTGATTTAACCAAGTCTCTTTTCTCACAGGTCACCCAACAGATTTCAGTGATCGATGCACACTACCATGGGGCAAGAATGAATTTGCAGTGAGCCGAGGAGGAGAAAAAAAAAGACTAATGAAGCCCCTGGCCATCACCAAGGAGGACGTGGCTGCCAGAGACATCACCCAGGCAGCCCAAATAGAGCAACTGCTCAAGGATGGTGAATCGGCGAGGGCTGGAGCTGAGAAGCTAAAAGTTGCCCTTACCGATGCTGAAAGAAGGATAACAGAGCAGACACAGCGGCTATCTTCAACCGAGGAGAGAGCAGTCGGGTCAGAGGAAAATTGTCTGGCCCTTACTCAGGAGCTTGACAAGGTGAGGGCCGAAATGAAGAGTAATCAGAAGTCAGAGGAACAACTTCGGAATGAGTTTGCCGACAGCGTCTTGCCCGCCCTTGAGGAGAATAGTGCGGATTATTTCAAGAGGGGCTGGGATGAGGAGTTCCAAGCTGCTGGCGTTCCTTCTAATTCTCCCTTATTTGAGATGCACATCTATGTACCCTCGGGGGAGATGGTACAGGCTAGGGCCGAAGTCGTCGCTGAGGATGTGGTCCCACCCCTAGTGCAAGCCTCGAGGGAGACCTCTGAAGTGGTGATCCTGGCTCCAACTAATGCTGCCCTGTCGGAGACAGACCCTCCTGCTCCTAAGACGGGTATTCCTCCGATCTCACCTATCGTCGCTCTGGTCCCTGCTCTGCCTGTTCCAGCTGTTGCCGACGTTTTCAATGTCGACTCCCCCTGTAGCGGCCTGATGGACGTACCGGAGGGAGGTGATTGGTTTTTTTTTGACTTTTTGCTCTGTACTTGTCCCTTTTTATCTTGTAGCTCTCGGGTGCGCAAAGCCCCGTTTCTTTTTGCAATGAAATACTTCTTTTGTTACTATCTATGCATATATCATTTCCTTGTCTGCATAGTTTTAACTGCTAGCTTTATGGACTTTATCTTGACTTCGGGG